ACGAACGGTAAATGAACGAACGTTCATGAACATAAATGAACGAATGAAACTCTCGTTCATGTTCGTTCGTTTAACTAACACTACTAGAAAACTGGGAATTTCCGGCGGAAAATTTCCGCCGGAAATGTTCCGGCGGATTTCCGGCGGAAATTAAGAAAGTCAACTTTTGTTGACTTTCGCCGGAGCTCCGCCGGAAATCCCCCGGAAAATTTAAATCGGTAATAATTCCGGCGGATTTCCGGCGGATTTATTAATTAAGGGTTAATTAATCTTTAAAAATTAATTAATATTTGAAAAAAAATGGAAAAATATTTTACCGGCGGACATATCCGCCGGAAATTTTAAAAATTCAAAAAAAATAAATTTTAAAAAAAATTAAAAATGTATCCGCCGGAAATCCGCCGGAAATGATTTAAAAAAAAAATAAAAATCTTTTAACATTTTCCCGGAAATTTTAAAAATTGTTTTAGAACGATAATTATTAAAAAATTTAAAAAAGAAAAATAAATTTAAAAAAAAACTAAAAATATATCCGCCGGAAATCCGCCGGAAATGTTTTTTTGAAAAAAATAAAATCTTTTAACATTTTCCGGCGGACAAACTCCGCCGGAAATTTTAAAAATTGTTTTAGAAAAAAAAATTTAAAAAAAAAACTTATAGAAAAATAAATTTTTAAAAAAGCTAAAAAAAAATATCCGCCGGAAATGTTTTTTACAAATTCAAAAATTCAAAAAATATAAATCCGCCGGAAATCCGCCGGAAATTTTAAAAATTCAAAAAATATAAATCCGCCGGAAATCCGCCGGAAATTGTTTTAGAAAAATAATTTTTAAAAAATTAAAAAAACCTTTTAAAAAATTAAAAAAACCTTTTAAAAAAATCGTATTGGGCTTTAACGAACTAAATTGGGCCTTAATGAATCGTATGAGCCTTAACAGACCGTATTGGGCCTTAATGAACAGTATTGGGCTTTAACGGTTTGAACCGTATTGGGCTGTAATGAACCGTATTGGGCTGTAATGAACCGTATTGGGCTGTAATGAACCGTATTGGCCTGTAATGAACCGTATTGGGCTCTAATGAATCGTATTGGGCTCTAATGAACCGTATTGGGCTCTAATGAACCGTATTAGCCTTTAATGGTTTGAACCGTATTGGGCTGTAATGAACCGTATTAGGCTGTAATGAACCGTATTGGGCTGTAATGAACCGTATTGGGCTGTAATGAACCGTATTGGGCTTTAATGAACCGTATTGGGCTTTAATGAATCGTATGAGTCTTAACGGACCGTATTGGGCCTTAATGGACCGTATTGGGCCTTAATGGACCGTATTGGGACTTAATGGACCGTATTGGGACTTAATGAATCGTATTGGGCTGTAATGAATCCGTCAATCACAATTCCCACCGCCATCTAATTGAATATTATTTGTTTATTTGGAACAATCTACTTTGTTTGTAACATTGTGTGATACTTTAAATTGTATGTTTTGTAACAATTGTTTATTTTAATCAATGTATGATATTTAGTTGCATTTTAGTTTTATCCATATTTTTACAAATTTACATGATTTAAATATTTACTGAAAAAAAAATTTAAAAAATATATATATTACCGGCGGATTTTCGGCGGATTTTGCCGCCGGAAAATTTTTAAAATTTTTTTTGAATTTTTTTATTTAAATTTTTAAAAAAAAGAAAAAAAAATTACCGGCGGATTTCCGGCGGATTTGGCCGCCGGTATTTTTTTAATTTTTTTTTTGGGAAATCTTATTTAATTAAGTTTTTCCGGTGAGACAATACTCCGGCGGATTTTTCCGCCTGAAAAGTTTTAAAAATTTTTAATTAACGGTAAACCAAGTTTCTTAATTTTTCCGGCGAAAGATTTCCGGCGGCCGTATTCCGCCGGAAAATGGAAAAATCCGCCGGAAAAATCGACGGAAATAAAAACAGCGGCGCCCTCTTTTCTGGCGGACATATCCGCTGGAAAACCCAATTTCCGGCGGATTTGTCCGCCGGAAAAGAGGGTAATTTTGGTAGTGTAAACGAACAAAAAAAATTGTTCATGTTCGTTCATTTATTAAATAAACGAATATAAACGAACTTCCCGCCGAATAAGTCGCTGAACGTTCAGTTCGTTTATAACGCTACATACCATAACAAAATGCATAAAGATTGATAGAAATTGGTTGTGATGTCAAAATCATGCAATTGCATCAAGACCAATATCAAATCGTAGTCACGTAATGCAATTTTTATTCTTCCAATACAAAAAATAACTAAAAAGAATGACTTTAGGAGTAACTAATTTTCATATAATATTAAAATAATGTAAAAATTATATAATACATTGTTATTAATTTTTTTTAATGAAAAATAAGATAAAATAATAAAATGACCAAAATACCCCTAATTTTTTTAACAAATTATTTGGACTGAGTTAGTATGAAGTATGAACTATGAAAGGATGAAAAAAGAAACAAACTACAAACCATTAGGATGAAAAAAGCATTTTAAAGACTAGGGACGAAAATTGTTATAAACATCAAACCACATGGATGAAGATCGTAGTTTACTCTTTACACACACACACACACACACATATATATATATATATATATGTGTGTGTGTGTGGTTGGGTTCACTTGATATCAAGCTGTTTTCGTGAGAACCATGAGACCACTTTTTTTTCACTTTAAACTTCACAGCAAAATACTGTTAAGGTAAAAAAAAAAACCGAACGTTCACAGCAAAAACATTGTGAAGTTTCAAGTGTTAAAAAAATGGTCTCACGAAAACAGTCTGGTCTATATATATATATATATATATATATATATATTTATTTATTTATTTATTTATATTTGGGGGACGTTTGGTTAGTAAAATGATCTTTGGAAGGCATGAAATTTGAACGAATTGAATCAGGTTTGATTTTTGTATTTGGTGGCAGAAAATAAAATAGAATATGTTAAAGAATTGAAACATTTTTATCTGTTTTGTAGAATATAACTTTGAAATTGTAACAAAATATTGATAAATGACAAAAATAGTTCTTTATTTTTGTTTAAATTATAAAATGATAATATTAGCAATGCTGGTGTTGGGTGTGGTGATGGTGACGACGATGAATTCTATTTAAATATGAACCAAATATAAGAATAAAATTTCGTTAGGAGAATTAACCATTTCAATTTTTTGATCTTGAAAATCAAACATCTATACTATATTATAAAGTATTTGACAAAAAAAAATTAAAAACCATTTTTTATGCACAAAGTATTGTTTATTATGCATATTACTTAAAATTTAAGATTACAAGTAAATTGTATGTAAGTACAACTTATTAAAGCTTCATGTTTGAATTCATGTAACTAACTACAGATATACATAATCAAATAAAGAATAATCATCTCATTTTAAATATAAAAAACCTAAAATATAACTAAGACAATCATTAAGTTCTAACAAAATACTTAATTATTATATTTATAAAAATTATATTATTAAACCAAAACTAAAAAAAACGAATTAAAAAAATACACAAAAAAATGAGAAATGTTAAATAGTTAGTTTGGTGTTAATATCAACTTTTTTTCAATTTTTTTATGATATTTAGATTTTATTCAAAAATAAAAGCATCATCGTTTTCTCAAAACTATATAAAAATGTATTATAACATCAATTAAGACAAAAAAAACATTAAAATTAAGATGTATCTTCCTACATTTTGCTTTAAAATTCATTTAAATATTAAAAAGTTATTTTCTTTTTTGCGCCAAGAACTTGCAAATCCAAAGACGCTACCAAAAGTGTCTATGGACCCATATTTGATTTCACTATCTCATTTTTGTTTTTATGAAATAATGAAAGATCATAAAGAGTATGTTAATACATCTTTGTATATTATTAAATACACATTTATATATTATTAAATGAGGCTATATTTAGTAGAGTCGGGTTTCAATGGGAAGAATAGTTAATATGAAAAGTGTAAAAACCTTGGATTTATATTAGAATGAGATGTACCAGATAAATCTTGTATCAAACGTTATTTATGGGTGAGTTTGAGATTAAAGATGATCAATGATCCAGATCTCTTCTTATGTTTCTCACTTTAACTCTTCTTCTTATCCGATAATTTGTCATATTATATATTGGAGATGTTTTTACCTATCACATTTTATTTTACCATAAGAATGTAATATATTAATCAACACATGATGCATTAGTTCTCAAAATTGTATATTTAATGAATTATTTTCAATCATATATCAAATGGTATAAATTGTTGATTTTTTTGCTAATAAATAATAATAGTTCATGGAACAATATTCAAGAACGAGATTGGTATTCAAGAATTTTAGGTTGTAACCGTTGTTTTGGCAGTTGCTGAATGGTTTGGTGTAAAATGATTAAGTGGTCAGAATGATTAAGAGACTCTCATGATATAGTGCAAAATGAAATATAACTGTTTGGTAATTGTTTACAATGAAATTAGGGTGCTGAATGGTTAAGGGAGACCTATAATACAAAATTATTTATATGGTTTTAGAACCATTGAGAGACATGTTTTTTTTTGTCAAACAAGATTCACCTCTTAACGATTTAGAGGCTGCCTCTTAATGAAATTATTGAGTGGTAAACAATGTCTAACCCAGATTGAGGTTAAACTCTACAAATAGAACGTTCAAGTTGAAACTGAAGCAAAAAAACAATATTTTCTTTTGTTAAAGAAAGAAAACAGAAATACAGTTTGATAGGATTGAGTTTATGTGAGACCAACTTATTTTCGTAAGATCCGTGAGACCACTTTTTTACACTTAAAACTTCACAAAAACTATGTGAAGGTAAAAAAAAAAGTTTACCTTTACAGCAAAAACATTGTGAAAGTTACTTTCACAATGTTTTCCTTTGAAGTTTCAAATGTAAAAAAGTAGTCTCACGGATCTCACGAAAACAGGTTGGTCTAACTTGATTTCAAGTCCAGTTTGATGTGTCGTTAGTTAGCATTAGGGACGGTATAGTCTGAGAGCCATCCTTCTATAATCTTGATCTCGGTTTCTCGTTGTGCAACCAACCAATCAGGGTCCGTAGCCATTGGAGTGCTAACATCCAAGCAATGATGTCCTAAAAACACGACATAAAAACGTCAAGTACAATTGTACTCTGCAATTTACATACAGTGTTGTTTTATATCTGACAAAAAAAATCAAATTAAAAAACAGTTACCTTGTTGGGTAGTTATGGCAACAATTGTATCTGATATGTTTTCAAGAACCCTGTCACCAAAAGCATAATTAGAATGCTTGGATGTGGTTTTAAGGGCCGTTTACCTAAATGCTTACTCGGTAAGTACTTTAGTGTAATTTATTTTGATACATAAGATTTTAGTATATCAAAACATATTGAATGCAACAAATTACTGGGTAAGAGTCGCCATCCTTACTTACCGGGTAAGACTATCTATCATTTTCATTGTTCTTACCCGGTAAGATTCTTGACTCTTCTCATATTCATCCGATAAGGAAATTTACCCGGTAAGCACTTGACAAGTAAGTGTTTAGTAAACGGCCCCTTAGAACCAATCACTTGAGATTAATGAAACTTACCCTCCAGAACTGTATGGATCTCGTAATCCGTTGCTAAAAATGATGTTGCTTCCAAACTTTTCGAGCACGGTTTTTATACCCTTAATTTGTCATATAAACCATACGTAAGCTTCGTTCCGTAAAAATACTTTTATTTGTGAAAAACGTAATTAACGTACATAACCTCCGAACTCTATCGGGGCCCAATAAGGTCTCGGAGTGACACCAAACACTTGTTCGCATTCCTTGGAGTATTTGTCCAAATCGAAAGGATCCGCTTGGAACATCGTGTCGTTTTCTCCACGTCCCATCGGCATTACCATTTCGGTACACGACTTCGTAACAAAAGAAACTGATTAGACCGTGTAATTCTAAATATTCGACATGCTATTGGTTTTAGCGACGCGTGATGGTGTTGCAAAGAGGTGTTTTTTTGTCGTGCTTGTAACGTACAGAAAACTATTCACTTGTGACATGCATTGGGTGCGTACTTGATGTGTTTGTGCGCTAGCGACGACTTCTGATGTCGCAGATTTATTGTGTTTGTGGGCGGTTTTAGCGACGCCCTCTTTTCTCGTGCATACAAACCCGCTTTTGTTGTAACAAAGCATTTGCTATACAAAAATTTACGGGTTTCGATGCTCATCTGGTACAAAATTTCCCTACTTTCAACGTGCGCTTGGCAAAAAGCGTCGCAAATGCCCGCTATTTTGATGTACTAATAGCGACACTTTGATATTCTTTTGTCTAGTAAAAACTGTACCTGCCAGTCCCATCCGGAATGCTTGTTGAATTTTAAGTCATATACTTGATAGCAACTTGTTCCGTAAATCGGAGCAAATCCCGCCAAGATTTTGTCGAAAATATAAGTCTTCTCTCCGGCTCCATCGATCGCATTGCAAAAACTTTGTAAATAGTTATCTGCAGGGTTATCATATTGTGCCATAGCGTCGTATCGGGACTCCAAATTGCCCTTCAGATCTTGACTTGTGTTCAAAGGCCTTCAAAATCCGATAATACTTTTAGAAAACGTCAAGATGTCGTAGCAGAATGATACGATTAGAAAAGTTGGTCGTTACAAGCATGTGTTGAACATTCGGGAAAGCTTCGAAAGGCCATGGGGTTGAAGAGCAACTCTATCGATTTCAAACCACGATTCTCTTATGGTGTTGTAGCAACTCGTGCTTGTACTCTGTGCATAAAAAGTAGGTTTAGTTGCATTTATGACGGTTAAGGGCGTCACAAAAGACTCGGATGAAATTTTTTGGTTTCTACTTACTTTAAAGTCCTTTGAAACTATGGCATCGTATCCGTTTTCAGGAGTGAGTCCAAGAAAATAGAGGATCGGAGACGAGGACGCCAGTGCTCCGTAAGCGATGTGGGGATATTTCAAACGGAACCACGAAGCAAGCACTAAATTTAAAAAACGGATAAAAGAACACGGTAAAATATACTAATGCGACGCTAACAGACCGCTGTCGCCATTGAGCGTCTAAATTCCCGCCAAGGTTTTTAATTTAAAGTAAAACCATATATATGATAGAGTTACGATCATGTGATAACAGTTTAAGTTTCGTGAGAACCGTAAACCTTTGACAACTTAGGATGAGTTTTTGTTTAATCTTATGGCTTACAAAAACGTAGATTAAGGTTGTTCGGTTGGTTTTCCATCAAGTCTTGTATGAATAAAGTTGTATGTGTACATTAATCTGTCTGTATAAATTGAAAAGGTTTTTGTTTGAGAATTTTTTCATAAAAGGAAGGAACGTGTTTTTAATAAGGAGGGGTAGGTTTGAAAAAAAAAAACTCGGTTTTCTGCATAAAACTCCCCCTAGAAGCCTACTGAATAAGTCACTTTTTATATCATTAAACTCCAAACAAACGGTCATGTATAGTTGATCGAATAAACCGTGGATCTTATTAAACTTGTTAAGTTGCTAACAAACAAGTTAATCTGATAAGGTTTCAATTATGGCGATGCAAATAGGGCATGCGAAGGCAAACAAATATGGGGGGAAGAAGTTGCGGGGATCAAAAGAGATCAACGGTCCTGATATGTTCTCACCTTTCTCATCAGAAGAGGTATACAAAATTCAAATGAGAACCATAAATATTTTGATAACCTGACAACCAACCATTTCATTTCATTTCATGTATTATTCATGATGAATAATAATGAATATTATGCATTTTCATAATAAATGGCATCATACACTTCCATCATGACATCTTGTATTTTCATTTATGAATAATTTTCATCATGAATATCTATAAGA